CAGAACAACGCACACAAACATCCATGCCCTGAGTGGGATTCGAACCCACGATCCCGGCTTCCGAGCGAGCGAAGGCAGTGCATGCCTTAGACCGCTCGGCTACCGTGACCGGCTCATAGACACATTTACTCTGCAGAATATGGAGAATGAGAAATTTATACCGACAGCTTTATAATTATAAAGCTGATTATAATCTGTCGCGGACTGAGACTGTTTCATTATGTTTGACTGTTAAGACAACTTTAACAAATTATTAGTGTTATATCGACTGAGCGTTACCGGGCATGGTGTGTGTGTGTGTGTCTGTGAGCGGGATTATCAGGCTTAATGCTGTATCAGTTGCTGAAGCCAGATTAGTAAAACGATTTTAACTATGTATACACTGTATTTTCTGGCTAACGGTTAGTGGGAAGTGTTCAAGAGCGTTATCAGTCCACGTCTGAGAGCCAGACAGGCAAAGCTACAACAGTGCACACAGGTTACCATGGATATATTTTGGCATTTGTGTGCAGTGCGACTGTAAACAGATTTAACAGGCCTATTCGGCAGAAAGCATTAAAATGAAATAATTAAGACTGGGGTAAACCTTTTCCTTATAATAAACAGATATCAAAGTCACATGCGGCAATTTACACTATTCAACCTGCACACTTCCACCCTGAAAACTGACGCAGCATACACCTCAGAAAAGTCGGCAACATCGAGAACAACCACAAATCCTAACAACTCAAGAACAGAATTAATATAAACAAGAAGTTCTGGGAAGAAATAATTGACTACGTTCCTTTGCTACGACACGGACCACATAACAAAAAAATCTTTTATTTGTTGCGTGCATATTCACTTCCCCTGAAGAGCGCTTACTAAGCCGTTGTGAAGGCCGCGCCATAACTCAAGCGGTTAGTCGCTGGCTTCCCACCGCGGCGGCCCGGGTTCGATCCCGGGTCTGGTCAAGTGGGGTTTGTGGTGGACAAAGTGGCGCTGGGGCAGGTTTTCTCAGAGTACTTCGGTTTCCCCTGCCAATCTTCATTCCACCAATTGCTCCCCAATCACCCTCACCTATCATCTGGGGCTGATACAATAGGCCAGAAGTGGCTGCAGTACAGGGGACTTAGTCCCACCCCAATAGCAAAAAAAAAGCCGTTTTAAGCCGTTGACTGACAACGATGGAGGGATAAACAACCAGACATGCAGACAGATGCATGGACACACAGGAGAAGTAGGCTAACAACAGAGGAACTGTTGTAGGCGTTGTTTTCTCTGCGGTCCGGCCTGAAGTTATATTAAGAACTGGTAGCTGCTTTCAGATAATCACACCAATATTAAGCTAACCCTCCATAAGGCACTGATTAGATCAGCAATGACTTATGCTTGCCCCGCCTGGGAAGTACTGGCAGTCACGTACCTCTTAAAATGTCAGCGCCTACAAAACAAGGTTCTCCGCACCATCGGAAATACCCCAAGGTGCACACCGGTCCGCGATTTGCAAACGGCTTTCAACCTTCCGTATGCATACAATTATATAACAAATTACGCAGCAATACGCAGAAATTATACAAAATCATAATGATATGTTCGCAGTATAGGATAAGGCGAAGCCAGACATAAGAGGCTTAAACTTGGCGGCGGTCAAGCTTACGACTGTTCAAGTGACTAAACTACCGTTGTAGCATAAGATAGACATGATCTGCATTCCAAAGCCTGAACTGAGAAGACTTGTATATCGTGAACAAGAAAGAATTTTCAATAACATGCTATATGTGTGATACGTATATTTGACTAAAGGCCATGCATATTCATAAGAGACAAATCCATCTTCTCGTCAGAGAGGATGTTACATAAGGACTATTACCGCAAGAGTCATTTGAAAAATATCTCTGTTCGTGAGTCTCAAGGGGCTTGACGCCAAGATGAACTGATTGTCGATAAACTGCCAGTCGTAAAGTGGCTCTGACTCTGACTTAAAACAATCAAATAACCGATTAATCAGTTTAGAAGAAGGTAAAATGATGGCGAATAGTACGTATGTAACAATATGCGAGGAAGTAGCCATGACCCACAATAACGTATTGTTCTGGCACGCACCTGAATGGATTAACGAAAACAGAATGCATCAGTCTAGATAATCTGTTCTAAGGCCAATATTACAACTCAGTACCTTCCGAATACTAGATAAATTTGTTAAACTGCTTTTGGTGGGACAGGGAAGAAAGCGACAATTTCCCGCAATATACCGTATTTACGCATGTATAGGCCGCAGCACAATTTTCAGACAGAAATTATAGGAAAAATAATTTTCTTGGAATATTATTT